TTTGCAACAAACTTTGTAACGTCTTCCTTTGGTCCAGATAATGTTGCTGAATTACCTTCAATTATGGAAAGATTAAATTGAAAAGATGCTTTTAAATAAACAGAAAATCAACCAATTACAGCTGTTGTGACAAGCAACTTCAATGCCTTCCGGTAGCATGTCTTTGACTTCTTCGTAACTCAGTCCAACAGCAGCCATCGATCCGTAAGTAACTTTTGTTTCGAGACTGACTACACCGCGTGCCATCGCAGCCAGAATCATTTGTTCAGCAGTCATGCTGCCATCGGCATAGGCACATCCTTTGGGAAAATAAATTAAAAAAAAAAATAAAACGTGTAATTCGTGCACACTTTCAATGAACTTCACATGTTATGTACGAACCGAGTTCGCCTACAGAGTGTCCGATGCAGTAATCGAATGGTATCTGCAGTTTTCTTAGAATGTTAACAATTGCAATTTGAATTGCAGCAATTCCAACAAATGAGTTTATGATGTTATCAAATGTAGTGTCGTCACTGGAAGTGACGATCGATATTAAATCCAAACCGTATGGTTTCAATATTTCATGGCATTCGTAAATGGTTTCACGATACAAGTCGATTTGCATCATTGAAGTGGCCATTCCAGTCCATTGTGATCCCATACCAGTAAATATCCATACAATTGGCCGTTTAGTTGCATCAAAACGGTCGATAATGCGAGTTTTCTGGACAGTTGTATTATTATTGTTGGCGTCATTCTTTTCCAAAATGCTATATCCACGATATAGAAATCCAGCCTGTTCATACTTTTGAATGTTATGTAAAAGCGATATAAATTCAGCATCGAGTGGCTTTGTCTCAAGATTATCAAAGAGTTTCTCCACACCTTCTTTGGTACGCGCCGCCCACAATACTAATCGTGGAACCGAATCACTTGGTATGCCACAATTAACCTTTTCTTTTTCAAATCGTCCCAGAAGTACATGAGCATTTGCACCACCAAAACCAAATGAAGAAACTGCCACTAAATTGCCCGGAAGTGGTGTTAGTTCCGAGCATACTTTCAAGCGACCTTCCACAAGGGCGGGAATATCTTTTCTTACACTAACGAAATTCAAATTTGGAGCAACAATTCCAGATTCGAATGCAAAAATAACCTTTGTTATGGAACAAATACCCGAGCTACCCTCTGTGTGACCCATATTTGATTTGACCGATCCAATAAGCAATGGCTCTTTGCGGTTTTTACAAAAGATTTTATCAATAGTTTTACACTCTTGTGGATCACCAACTTTGGTTCCTGTTTGATCGGAAAAGAAACAATAAAAAATCATGCCAAAATTTGGTATCCAAATAAAAAGAAAAATTATATTAAATGAATGTATTCACCAGTTCCATGAGCTTCGACATAAGAAATCGTGCATGGATCAATATTTAAATGTTGATAAAAGTCGTTGATCAAATCATATTGTTTGTCGCCCGATGGATAATGAACACCTTCGTTCTTGTAACTAAATGTTCAATGTAAAAAAGTGTGAAAAAAATTTCATCATTTATTTATTAAATTATGAATTTTGAAAGTAAAAAAAATAGAAAAAATTTGTTTGAAGTAAAAAACAATATCGTTTATTTTGTTTAATTCACGAATGTCTGCCACTTTGCATTTAAGAAGCATTGGAGCGGGTACGCTATTGATTGTACTTACCCATCACAATTTGTATCCGAATAAATCAGTTTTGCATAAATACGTTTTGCATTGCGTGCTTTTTGCAAAAATATCGAACAAATTGCTTCCGAACGTGTGTAACCTGCTGCACTTTCATCGAATGGTCGGCAAACTCCATCTTTTGCAATCATACCCAATCGAAAGAAATTGATCGTAGTGTATGGATGCAATAATAGGTTAGTGCCACAAACCAAGGCACTATCACATTGACCGTTTCGCAATGCGGTAAATGCTTGATCAATTGCAAACATTGAGCTACTACAGGCTGTATCGATGGTGAACGATGGCCCAGTGAGATTTAAGCAATAAGAAATCCTGAAAATCCATTCAAGCATTATTATTTTCATGCCAAAAGACACTCTATAACACTCACCGATTGGCAACCATTGCTCGGCTACAGCTGTATTTCAGAAAAAAGTACACTATACAACCATGTTTTTATTTTCTTTTAAAAAAAAGTTTGTCACATTCATGAGTCCGATTTTTTTCACGCCATTGAAAATATCAATATCGGCTCTGATCATGCAGTACTTACCCAGACAAAGCAAAACCACTATCAACACTAATTTGTTCAAAGACCATATTTTTCTCGGCTTCCGAAAAGCAAACGGCAACAAAGACTCCGGTTTTCGTACCGCGCAGAGATTTCGGATGTATGCCAGCATCAAGAATTGATTCGTAGGCAGTTTCAATAATTGTACGTCCTTGCGGATCCATATTATTTGCTTGCTTACTATGAATGCCAAAAAATGCGGCGTCAAATTTACTAATGTCCTTCAATACTCCTTTTCGCTTTGGCAATTCATGACTCATGCTGTTACTCCAACGCGATTCTTCTTCACTTGTCATATCAATCTGAAGTGTGAATTATTGAACTTGTATTGAACACTTTTGGTCAAACATTTTACTCAAAACCAACCTTGTTGTACAAATGATGACGATACTCTTCAACATTTTCACAATTCGGATAACGTCCAGCTGTGCCACTGATAACAATTTCCTCATCTGGACAAGACGGAAATATACGGGTCGATTGGATGTCATTTGACATAAAATTCTTTTCACATATAATTTGACCACCTCGTGGCGCATCAGAGAAATAAATTGTTGGTGGTAACATATTTCAATATATATTTTTTTTAATTGAATAGAATGCTTAATTTCACACAAGTTTACTTCAAAAGAATGCACGAACCAACGAATTTCACGTTGAACACAGAAATATTCACTCGAAAAAAATGTCTGAGCACAAGCGCAAAACCCACTATCCTGATAAGATGTCAGTTTAAAATGAACTAGCTTTTGAAGAATAGAGGCCGTTCTATTTATACTTGAATTCAAGACGATTGATCAATATTTTATAAATATTAATAAATTAACGGAAGCGCGTCAAAGAAATCAATTGAACTTATGTAAAAATGTCTGACCCCCCGAATTTCATCACAAATATTATTTTATTCATGCGTTGAATATGCCGACTATTTTCGACAATAATTTATTCGTGTGCAGTATGTGGTCATTTGAATAATTCCGACCGTTTTTCTATTGTTTTTTTTTTT